TTTTGCAACTGTATTGAACCATAACCTTAAATCTTAAATTTTCACTTCATTGTTCTGTTCAGTCAGACAGTTCAGTGCTTTCAGTTTTCACTTCATTGTTCTGTTCAGTGACATATATTACCGATAGTTTATCCACTCTCTCGTTTCTTTAGATTATAGAGGGTGGCAGAAGCTAGACTCTAGGATGACTAAATTAGGCAATCTTGCGACTAGTATACTACCTGTTAAGGCCGAACTGCGACTTTATTAGTCCAGTATGCGACTACTCGAACTACTCCATCTTAATCTCCAAAACAACAAAGCGAAAGCCGCCATGTTGTTAAATAAGAAAATGTTTCGTTCCTAAAATAGCAATTCCTGCTTTTTGAATACATTAACTTGAAATATTTGACCCTAAAAAACACGCGGAAACAATTTTTTCGACTGCGAATAAATTATTCTCATTTTACTAAAAAAAAATTCAAGAAAATTTTTAAAACTTCTTTAATTTTAAGGCCCATTAGTATTAAGTAGAAACCCCATAAGTAGAAACAATACATTTATCAATAAAGTTGTTTGCGTTTAACTTTTTTGCCTTGGGTAACGAGTTACAGAGTCGGCTAAAGTGTTTCAATAATTATGATCTTCAAACATCCCCCACACTTAAATACTTTTGTTTTGTTTTCCTTCACTGCCATCTGACATATGTCTCTAACTAAATCATAAAAATAATATTTTTACTATAATTATCCCAATTTAGGATAAAACGCGACTTAGACGCTATATTATTTTTGCATTTCTGTGAATTAGGATTTTAAACAACGTTGCAGTTTGTACTAAATTAGGCTTCTAGCCAACGTCGGTATCCAACGTCGTTTCGACCCAAAAATTATTCTCCAAACTAGTGCAGACTAGGGTTGACACGAGGTTGTGCCGACGTTGCGCCCCGACGTTTGGTCGCATGACACAACGTTGTCCCGACGTCCAAATGCTGCTTGGGATGGCAATGGCCTATCATTACCTATTACCGAGAACCGCACATTTGCCAAGCTGTCACACCTACATAAAATGTGTTTTGTCGTTTCTTCTTCAGATTGGCAGAACCTATACATATAGCTTCGTCTGTCAGTCCCATCAGCTTTAGATACCTATTTAGCTTACAATGCCCTGTTGTAGAAATAGAATGAGTAAGAGGGAGGGGGGTTAATCACTGTGACCTTTAAGATCTATTTTGCCCCTCTTCCTTGAGTCACCACACAGTCTATAACCCATCATACCCCTGTTGTAGAGGGGACAGGGTATTTCCCATCCTCCTCTGCCAACAGTTCTTCCTCCGGGGGTACACACCCTTCCACGGTTGGTGTTTGGCCCTCTGTGCCGCCCTTAAAAGTCGAGGAGCTTGCCTCCGGCTTCGGAGGCTCCGGCGTGGAGGCTGGCGGATCTGTCTTTATTTTCTCCACCTCTTTAACTTGGTCTCTCCTTAGACCTGATCCCGGTGTTGTCCCGTATCTATAATAGAGGATATGTTTTCTCTATTGCCTCCTTGGATTTGAGGTCAATTCCTATTGTGAGGACCTGACCATGACCCTCCTCCCTCGAGTTGATGACTCGCCAACTCGATGTCCTCACATTGAAGTTCTGACCCTGGATAAGGCTCAGTAGGTAGGTGGTGTCTTTCCCCTTGCTCCTCGGCAGAAAGACCGTGATGGCCGCCCCTTTAGTGATGTTTTCTCCCTTCACTGCAACCAGTCCGGCCCTTGCCAATTTTTATGGCAATCCCCTGTTAGTCGACCTACTACAGCTTTGACTGTATTTCTGTCCTTGTTTATCAGGTCTACCGTGAATTTTGGCGAATGTTCTACAAAGAACTTTTTCGCCTGTCTCTGCTCTGGTGAGTTTCTCCACCATTCTATAGAGACTTGTTGGCCACCCATCGTTCCGTGGCCATTCTCGTGACCGGGAAACATAAACTGCTGACTGTGAATCCACGCGCGACCTCCAAAAGGTTAATTTTTAATTTAGAAAGAGATACTAAAAACTCAAATAATTTAACTATATATTGCTTACCAAATCATCAAAATATATTAATCTTTAAAATATCCCATCATTTTAAGGTGCCCGTTTTTCGTGCCGGTGAGTGTAATATCATTAAACCATAATAAGCAAACTTGTGTATTGGTTGTATAACAAATCGGTAAATATCAACAACCAGTTTTGCTTATATAATCTATTGAAAGATGTAATTTAAATGTAATTGCATCATGTCATTTTCATCAATTATTAACGATGCGTAAAGACAAATAGGAATTCCGCAAAACGTGATAAGCGTAATGATGGAAATATAATTGACTGTTGTTTTTACAAGAAACTGAAATTAACTTATGCCATTATGTTCGCAAATTAATTACCCGTACTAAAATTTTAATATCTGCAAACTTAGTATTTCTCTTTTATGAAAAAATTAATAACATCTTTACATATATGTCATAACGGTTATTAACGTGTCACAACCTTAAACTTAAAAAAACATATTACACTGTGCGATACGTAATAGAACAAGGTTAAAGAAAGCTCTGAATGGGAAGTCAACACGAAATACTATGTTAGAATAAATGTTTTGAGTTCTCTTACTTAATAATAGGAAAAATGTTAAACTAAATAACGGATGTCACAAGAAGAAAAAAAAGGTTATTAAATATTCATTATGTTTGTTCAATGCGTATTTGTAGATATCAGTATTCAGGTCATTAACACAAGAACGGTACTGTATATCATTACTTCTTGTTAAGAAATTGCACTGAGATAACTGTAAAGAAGATTAGCATATCTGTACTATTTTTTGAATAATGAGAGAAAAGTTAAACAAAATTTTTATTGTAGCCTTATTGGAATAAGGCACAGAATTTAGAGGTATAGAGTATTTAAGTGAGTATTTAAGTAGTGAAGGAAGAATCTATTAAAAATACCAACAATCACAAATACTTAGTTGAGAATCGAAAGCATTCAAATGCACAGCATAATCAAATCCTTCATTATTTTTGTTCAAATACGCTTCGTGTAAAGTTCAAACCAAAAAGAAAAACTTGTTCAAGTGCGAGTCGGACTCGCGTGTCAATCCCTTCCTGCCAACTTCTTCTCGGTCTACCCGGTTTTCTTCTTCCTGCAGGTTTCCAGTTTATAATTTGCTTTGGGATTCTTATTTCTGCCATTCTTTGGACATGCCCGTACCATATGAGTTGACTGTTCTTTATGTCGTCCACTATCGTATGTTTAACTTCCATAATCTTTCTTATGCGATCATTAGTTATTCGCTCGAGTCTTGATTTACCTGCTGATCTTCTCCAAAAATCCATCTCTGTAGCTTCCAGCATTCGTTTTGTTGTTTCCTTAATTGGCCAGACGTCACAGCTGTACGTGGTTATACTCTTTATGATGGTATTGTATATTAGAGTTTTGTTCTTGTTGTTTATACTTCTGTCCCATTCAATACTGTGATAGCATTCCTTCCAAGTTGGTTTCGTTCTTTAATTGCTGTATCCAACAGTCCATCATTTGTGATTTGCATACCCAAATATTTGTATTTTGTGCAGCACTTAATTTTCTTCCCTTCTTCTGGCATTAGATCTTGTTGTTCTCCTCCGATACATATATATTCTGTTTTGTTAGTATTGATCTCGAGTCCCCATTTCTGATATTCTTCTATAAGCTTACGTGTCATATAATTTATGTCATCGTAATCTTGTGCTATGATCACCTGATCGTCCGCGAAGCAAAGTGTGTAGAGCATGTTATCCCCTGTGGGTACTCTCATATTTCTACATTTTTGCTTCCAACCTTTGAGAACTTGTTCGAGATATATCTTGAACAGTGTTGGTGAAATACAGCACCCTTGTTTCAGACCTTTGGTTCCATTAAATCCTGTTGTTAACTTTTTGCCGACTTTTATTCTAGTTTTTGTTTTTTTATATAATTATTTTACTGCTTTTATTAGCTCTACATTTATATTGTTTTTTTCGATAGCTTCCCAAAGTCTCACAAGGGGAACGCTGTCGTATGCCTTCTGCAGGTCCACGAACACAAGATGTAGCTCTTGGTTTATATTGCTCTTTTTACTTATTACTTGAGTGACTGTAAATAAGTGGTCCACCGCCGATCTTCCGGCTCCAAATCCTGCTTGTTCTTCGGCTTCTATTTCTTGCTATTCGTTTTCGATCCTATTTCTCAACATTTTTCCATATATTCTACTCACGGTGACTGTTACTGATATTCCCCTGTAGTTTTCGCACTTAGTACGATCTCCCTTTTTGTATATAGTTGAGAGGTAAGCCTCATTCCATTCTTGTGGTACATCCGTTCCGTTTATGCAGTCCTGGAATATTTTCCTTAAGTGTTCGTACAGTTTTTTCGGTCCTGATTTAATTAACTCTGCCGGTATATTTCCCGGTCCGGGTGCTTTACGATTTTTTAGTGAGGTACATGCTTATTATTAATTACTTCGTCCATTGATATTCTAATCGGGGATCCCATTGTTCTTATATTTGTCGTCACGTCAGGGCAGTCCATAAATTCGACTCTATTTTCCGTCATAAGATTTTCCATGTATTCTTCCCATTTTTGTGGTGTAATCGGGGAGATGATTTCTTTGCCTTTTCCCTTTCTGACATTTTTTATAAATTTCCAACTTTCTGTGCTTCTTCTACCTCCTATATATGTGTTTAGTTGAGTACACTTCTTTTCCCATATCAGATTTCTCTTCTGGCATATTTCTCTTCGTACTTTAGCTTGGGCTTTTTTATATATTAGTTTGTCTTCGATCTTCTTGGTGCTCAAGTATTTTGTATATTTGCGTCTTTTATCCTCTATAATATCCTGTATATCCGTGTCCTACCAGTAAGGCTTCCTTTTCCTTTCATTATTGTCGATTGTACCCAGGACCTCAGAAGCTGCTTTGTGTATGCATTCCTTGATATAATAATAATGTTTTTCCAGAGTTTCGAAAGGTTGTTGTTGTAATTTTTCCTCTAATCTTTTTCTGTATAACATTTGCACGCTGGGTCCTCGAGCGCTGTTAAGTTGTACCTTCTCTCTTCAATTTCTTTCGTTACATTTTCTATTTCTTTATATTCTATTTTTTCTCGTTTATATGGTAGAAATATTTTCGCTTTTAGGAGGTGGTGGTCGCTACCGCATATCGCCCCTCTATATACCCTTACGTCTTGAATCTGTATTTTTGTTTTTTGTTTAGTAATTACGTAATCTATGATAGATCTTATTTTTTTTGTGTCTTGTGTCCACGTATATTTGTGTATGTTACGATGTTGATAAAATCCATTGAGAATTCTTAAGTTATTCTGTTTGCACATGTCAATTAGTCTTTCTCCATTGTTATTGAGCGTCTCTTCTCCATATTTTCCTATAGTAACATCATTATCACTTTTTCCGGTGCGGCTATTTAAGTCCCCCAACAAAAATATTTCTCTCGTTTTTCCGGTTTTTATAATCTCATCATTCAACTGTTGGAAGAATGTATCTTTTGAAGCTGTTGGTGAATCATCATTTACTGCGTATACTCCAATGATTGTTAATCTATATCCTCGAATATTCATATTAATCTTAATAATTCTTTCGCTGATTCCTTCCCAGGTTGTAATGTATTTTCTATGTTTCCGATGTATCAAAATAGCCACTCCCTGGCCCGCTCTCTTTTCTTTTGGAACACCGCTATAAAAGTAATCATACATTCCTAAGTTCTCTGATCCTTGACTTTTTTTCTTGATTTCAGTTAATACTGCTAGGTCAATTTCTAATTTATTTATCTCATATAGTACTTCGTCCATTTTTCTGGAGATACCTTGTACGTTCCATGTTCCAAAGTGCATTATCCGTTTTCGTTGCATGGTTCGTCTTCGTATATCAGATCCATTTCGAGGCATTTTGTTTGGCTTTTTAACATTTTTTAGGTTTTCCAGGTATCGAGGAGTTAGACCGATGCCCCAACCCCCTATCAGGAGGGCCAAGATTTTTCTGTAGGGGTTGTCTCCCTTAGCCGATCTGTTCCAGTTTTAAGGCGCCGCAAAATCGCCTTTTACCCTCTTCCGTTAGCTGCGTAACGTACATCCATTGTACGCCACTCATTGCCCAGTGGTCACGGCAAGGACGTGGAAGTAGGATTTGCTAGTATGTCTTAGAGACTGCGGGCATTTCCCAGAGTTTTGTTACACACAAGGCATCGACAACCATGGGTGCCTCTGAGACCCTCACACTAACCATTAGACCACCCCAAAAATATGTAAAAATTAAAAAAAAAACGATTAAAAAAAGTCGCCTTGACTAGGATTCGAACCTGCCTTACTACGGCTCCAACGTCATAACAGCGTAAAGTCCTAACGCTTTAAGCCACGCGGCCGCCGAGGGCTTGAAAGATTCTATGTAAAATTCTTACTTAAAAGATAATATTTAGTGAAGGCACTTTTTTGTTTATAAACATTTATTTAATTCTGTTTTTAGTATTTGTTTTAGTATTTGTATAACGGTTCATAAGATAGACCTTTGTGACAGACGGACAGATGGACAGCGAAGTCTTAGTAATAGAGTCCCCTTTTTTACCCTTTGGGTACGGAACCCTAAAAAGAGAAAAAGCTTATAAATTCAGTAGAATGTTTTGATCTCTATTAATAGGATAATTTTCGCCAAAACAAAGTAGACAGGTAGCTTCTATACAAACAAATATTAAAAACTGCAGTATCTCCCCAGATTGTCTTTACAAGAGGAAAAACATTTTTGTTATTGACATTTAAAGAAATATTTTTTTTTCTAAAATGGTTTAATCCCCTTTATATGTTTCCATATTTCCATACCGTTTTAGAGAAAATAAAAAAAAAACATGAAAATATGGTTGAATTTTTGCCATAAAAATCAAAAGGCTTCGATTTCATTCTTTAATGATTCAATTTCAATATGTCATAAGTATTTTTCGCTGTTACACTTTCCGTAACATCGAACTAAATAAATTTTGTGCTTCTTTAAAATTTTAAAACAACAACAAATATGAAGTTAAAGCAAAATAAAACACTAAATCACCACAATACAGCAGAAGATTATAAACTAACTCAGTTTATAATCATCTGCTGATGATGCTAACATGGTTAGCGAAACGCGCGTCCAGTGTAAAAGTAAAAGTGTTTTGGTGTATTGTGGTGATTTAGTGTTTTATTTTGCTGTGTAACACCAAATGTTTCAACCCTCAACTGTAATTAAAATATGAAGTTAATTACAATTCTATCAATAACAATCTATCAAAGAATGAAATCGAAATTATATTACCATAGAAACGCCTTTTGTTTTTAGGGCTTCAAAAAATTCCAAAAATCAAACTATATTTTCATAGTTTTTTTTTCTTTAAAACTGTATGGAAATTTGGAAAAGTATAAACAGAATAAGAAAGAATAATAATAATAATAATTATCACTTTAGACAAACAATTTTTTTTATGAAGAATGCATTTTCCTCTAAATGTCAATAATAAAAAAGTTTTGCCTCTTGTAAAGACAATCTACGGACATACAGTATATAAATTTCGTATGTTGTAGGTAGATGTGTGTCAAAATAGTTTACTTTTTTATCACTTATTATACAGATATAAGTAAAAATGTTATGAGCAAAAATCTAGATATTCTCGTAGATATTGAAGGAATCATAATGCGTTAAGCATAAGTTCAACTTCACCAACATGCACAAGCCTCTCCATTATACAGGGTATCCCCAAAAATAAGTGCAAATATTTTAACTGGTAGTATATTTCGGTCTCAGAAACACGCCCATGGGGTATTTTTTGCAAAAAAAAAAAATTGAAAATTTGGAATTTTTAAAAAAAAATTTGGAAATTTTTTAAAATTTTAAGTTAAAAAACATAATTTCCTGATAATATGGCAACATAGGTAGTAGCTTAAATTTACATGAAAGGAAATCCAGAAAAGATCCAGTGGTTCTCAAAATTTTAGCAAAAACATTATTTTTTGGGAAATTTAAAATTATTTTTTGGGAAATTTAAAATTATTTTTTGGGAAATTTAAAATTATTTTTTTGGAAAGTAAAATAACTCGGTTATTTTGGACTTATTTGAAAAACGTTAAAGAGAAAAAATGTTTCTTTTGACCAGATCTACCACCCCAAATTTTTTATGTTCCGTTGAAAATAAACCGTTTTATTTTAAGGGGTTTTAGTATCATTTGTAATAAGGAAACCGATAATTTGTAATACAAGAAAAGTAATAGTAACATTTAAAAAATAGGTACATAAATTTAATTTTGGCTATCTTGACTTGACCGTAATTATTTTAATTTAAGTCATTTTGCTGACTTAACTTGGAGATCATCATTTAAATCAAAAATACAGACTTAAGTCGTTACGAAAATGACTTGACCTGAACGAAAGTGATTTAAGTCAAAGATTTAAGATTTAAATCATTTAAACTTTATGCTGAAATTGACTTAATAATTAAATCGTTATGATTTTAGAAATGACTAAAGATTTAAGTCATTTTGAAATTGACTTGTTGCAGCTCTGGATAGGTATGTCTTTAATTTTAATTATGGTACTACTACAAGAGTTTAAGGTCAAGGTATTAGCATATTTTTTAAGAATTTTCAATCATTCTACACTATGATTCTACATATCGAATATCAAATAGATTTAATTTTATATTAAGGATTTCTCTTCTACCTTGTATAAATAATTCCTTGTAACGTTCAGTGATCTATAGAGGTATTGTATACAGATTTTTACCAAAATTGACGTATATTGTTTCTATTAGAAGAACTATTTTTCCGTAATATTAAAACTATTTTCAGTTTTATCAACCAGCATCAGCATTGGCTGATTATGGCTGATCTGGTCGCCGAATTATGTCTCGTTTTCCAATTTACCCTGATGTCTAAATGTCAGAACATTTATACTATTTTCTAAACCGTTATTTGGAGATTGTTTAAAATATGCTTTTCGTCATTAATTTAAAAAGATTATCCCAAATAAAATATATATATAAGACTAAAAACATTTCACAAATTCTAATTACATTTTGACTTTATTTCACCAAAATATACTCTTATATCGATTCTCTTTTAATTTGAGCACAAGTAAATAAATAAACTTTTAAATTAGCATAAACAGTAATAACTTCTTTATAAGCATACAAATTCATATCTAACTTTACCTTTCTAAAATCACTGCACTCCGAAGACCCACAGCGACACCACCAATATAAACAAAAAGTCTCTACGCGCCGCTCACACTCACTATCAACCGATTCTTCGCGATTACCCACTAAACCAGCTCTTCTCTCATCGCCCTACATCGGCGATTTCACGCCAAAAGTCAAAGCGTTCTTCACTTTTTTCGTTTCACTTGTCGACGGACGGACGGGAAGACAGACGCGGACATTCACTTGTTTTTGCTTTCGGCGGTCGGTAAAGAGTGGCGCGAATTGGTCGGCTTGCTTCGATTTTATTTACCTTTCTCGAAACACCAGTGAGTATATATTTGAATGGACGCGAGCTTGGATCGTCCTGGGTACCGGGTGTATCGAATTATATGAGTTCAGTTCTAACACAAATTTTCTTAATTCAGGCTCACGTGACTATGACTTCTGCACATCCAGCATTAAGGTTTGTTGAAGTGACAAATGCGATCGCTTGTCAAACTCCAAGTAGCAGAATTGCCGTTCTCTGAGACTCTATCCCTAGGGATGGTCCAGTTGGATTGTGAAGTCTTCATAACCATCTGGTGGCATTGATGTAACGGGTGACTTCCATTATGCTCTTTCCAGCAACATCCTCAGCATCTACGAAGTGTAGCCTCTGAGAAAACGATTTCGAGTCCTATACGCGTTAAGGCCTATTGTAATTGCACCACAGCGATATAAACTTTTTGCATAACCCGCTAGATTGTGGGTGTTATTCACTAGGTACGTACGATTAATCTAGGGTAACTATTAAAAGTCTGTAGTTGTTTTTGAGTCGCATCTTCGTTATGCCCTTCCATTCTGGGGTACTTGCTGCGCGACAAAATTTGATCGTATTTTCAAACTTCAAAAGAGATTCGATATTTATTGTGACTGAACAGTAGAACTCACTGCCAGAATTTCTTTAGAAGTTTCAAAATACTGACTCTTCCTTCCTTATTCATTTTTGAATCCGTTTGCTTAATCCGCAAGCACATATTTGCTATTCCCGAAAGGCCATCTCACAACTATCCACTTAGGAATGCGGAGCACGATCTTTATCTGCCAACCCCGAGCTCAGAACTAGTTAAAGGCTCAGTACTGTACAATGCCAAAAAATGTACAATCATCTGCCTTTGAATATCAAGTCACTTTCATTCTTTCCCTCATTTCGCAAAGCTCTGAAATCATACTTACTGGAGAGAGCCCTATATGCGGTAAGCGACTTTTTTGTTGATGTTTAATCATGAACAATTTTGAATTTTAAAATTTTGATCAACTAACACACTGGTTAAAGGTCTAATATTTAATATTTAATATTTTATAACCAAACCAAACTCTTACATGATTATATTCATTTACAATTTTCCTATTGTAAAATTTTATTAATACGCCTTTTTTTTGTTCTGAAATGTCCATGTATGTTTTATTTATAATTTTAATGACATATGATATTTTTTATTATTTGTATATTTTTTTGTGCTTTTGTTTGTTTTGTAAATGCTTTGTCGATGAAGCTATTTTGGCTTGTTGTACAATAAAGCGTTGTTTATTTATTATTTGACCATTCACCATTTTTATAAGCGGTTTTGCAACATCGCATAAGGGTTCTGGACAAATGAATAGCAGTTATAAGCCTTGGTTGGCAACTTCCTTTTCTCTGCAATTTTTCTTTCGTTGCCTTTGCAATCCCGTATCCAGACTAACGTAACTTTTTATGAACAAACCCATAGTGTACCGCAACACGCAAATAATATCATACTAGGCTGTAGTCTTGTTGTCTCGTCTGTGTGTCTTATTTCGTCCCCACGACTTCAGCTCCTACATCCTCTGACACACCACTTGTTCCTCTATTCTCTACATGGTATAGATATGATTTGAAGTCGTTGAAGCTAGGCCTTGTAGATGTTAGCTCTATGGGGTGTTAGATCCATGGGGTGTATAATCACTTTATCTGGATTTAGCTCCTCGATTAGCTTCCGATATTCAGTACCATGCCACTTTTGTAAGTGGCCAAGAAATATCTAAAATGGTTGAAAAATTTACCAGGGCAGAGACAGGCGAAAGAGTTCATAGTAGAACTTTCGCCAAAATTCATAGAAAACATAATAAGCAAAAACAGAAAGACTCTCAAAACTATTATAGTGGGTCTACTAGCAGGGACTACCGTACTTATAGTAAATTTTTACTATAAAATTTCTTACAGTGAAGAATGGTCATCGACGTACATTCGTTGATTTAAGAACATTCCGCACCATTTCAGTATCCGAAAATATGTTTATTGTTTTCCCGATATAGTACTCTACCAGCAAATGCACACAGGTTTCAGTAACATATATCTGAGCCTTAGAAAATTGTACTATAATTCCAAAGGTTTTGGATGGTTTACCTAACACTTACGCATAAAGAAGTAATGAAACTTAATAAATCAAAGTATCAATCTGGAAATTGTAGACCAACCAAATTCAGAAAACTCTGTATATTGGTGTAAATTTGTGGTTATTATATGCTTTAAAAGCTTTCTTTGAAATATTGATGTATGAATAGCACTTGAGGTTTTTTTGCTAATTTATTTAATAGCGTTTAATATAAAGCAAATGTATTTTCCAGTCATTCATTGTAGTATTCGGAAAAAATATATTTTTAGATTTTCCATACTAAATGGTTTGTTGCTATTGAACTAAGTGTGCTAATAATTACTTACAAAATTTATTATCTGTTTTATAATCCATGCTTACAAAATACATCCCAATGAAAAACTTCAAGATGAGGATTAAAAGAGTAAAATATTCTTCCAAAAACATAGTAATAACAAAACAACTATTCTGACGTTAATTTTGAATCGATTTTGATTAAGAAAAACATCTGTATTTTTCATAATTATTCGATGATATTTTGGAAGAAAATGTTATAAAAATTTCCGAATAATACCTTTCCCTTTTGGTTCAGTGAACTAATAATGACTTAATGACATTGAATATATTTAAATAGTATTTCTACAACACGTGAATATCTTTAGGTTATAAATGTTTTGAAAAATCGATAAATTAACAATTTTGATAATAAAAATTTTCACTTTCCGTGGCAGGTGTCCTTGAATGGCAATTACAGGCTAAATAATATGCTTAGATATACTGGTCGTGTAAATGCCTGTAAGATTAAAATATTACACTAGTTCATAGTTTATTTCCATTCGTCAAAATACCAAAAATATCAATGTTTTAAAATTATTTTTATCAACTATTCAAATAAATTTTCAGGAAAATTAGGTACTTATCCTACTTTTCTTTTGGTTAATGAGTTCTGTGTCCATAATAGTTAATGCAAACTAAGAATTAAGTAAAATAGAACTAAGAAGTAAAGACATATTATATTTAGGAAAAAATAATGAAAATTATAATGCAGTCTCTTCGGTTGCTTTTACGTGTTTTTGTTGCTCACCAAATTGATATTTAGTAAATAACCATGAAGAAATTTATCACAAGGAACCAAGCTATAGACTATATTATTACGCTACTGATTATTTGTGAAAAATTACAGATTATCGATCACTTTTATATGCGTCATATGTGACTGCATTATAATGATTTTCTTGCAATAATTTCGAGAAAGCCCATTAATCATTGATATGTAGAAAAATATAGATCATTCACGCTGTATCAATAACTGACATTGTAGATTAATTATTATTACTAGTGGTAATCGATGCTAAACAAGTTTACGGACAAACATTACAGTTAACTAAACAGGCATAATAGTTAAGCCAAGCGTTAAAACAATATTAGCTGGTGTCTATTATTTGATATCATAATTTACATGGTTTTGCTTATAATTTACTTAAATAATACGGTTGTCTACATCCCCTAGGGAGTTATATGTCACTTACTTAATTTCGGTAGGTATACAGGGTTGTTCACCACATACGACACGGAGTATTGTAGCTAAATGATTAGATTTTTACAAATTGTAAATTTTGGGTTTGTTGGAGGACTATTAGAGCTACAATTTGAAAATATTTTTACAAGATACAGAGTGTCCCCAATAAATAGAAAATATCAAAGTTGTATTTTTTTAAATGGAACACCCTGTATATTATTACATTTTTAGTTTCTACGATTAAAATAAAGGTAAATTTGATAAAGGTTTCCCGCACTTTCATCTTACCGTTTTGGAAATATTTTCAATTTTGTGAAATTGCAGTCAAAATTTTAAGGCTTCATTTCTCCAAGGGTATAAACGTTTTTAATACTAAATATTTACTGTAGTTTATTTATTGATCAGTTATTGTGTTTTATATATATGTATGTGTTACAGAGTGTCTAAAATTTTATTTTAAATAATTACTTGCTTTAAACGGCAATAACTTGTTTAATTTAAATGGAACACCCTGTATATTTTATGAGACTCAGATGCACAATTTAATTGTCTATCAAATTGTATTATACCATTTTTTACCTATCTCTTCAAGTTTCCGTAGAAAATGCATTTTCTTGTAATTTAAAACTCATTTATCAATATACCCATGGAATACTGACATTTTAGATTATTTTTAAAGATGTACCAAATTTTTAAAGAATACAGATACTAATATTGTCGATATAATTTGTTTATTTCATTAAAAAATAAATAAAAAACTGTTTAAATATTTGTTAAAGAGGACCAATTAATATGATTCCAGTATTTAAACTACATTAATTGACTGTTTGCGTTGATTAATAATAATTGCTCCAAATACTAAAAAACTGAATTTTGTATCTGTATTAGACAGTGTGGTAAAAAGTAACACCTTAAAAATGATATTTCATTTTTTGACCAATGCTTATTTATAACAACAGATATATTCATTTTCATAACTTATTATTATATTGATTTCTGATTCAAATCCACATTTATTTAGAATAATAATTTATTAACGAACATAAGTATATAATTAATTAGTATTTGCGCGGAAATAATGGTGGTATATTTAATTAATGGTATACTCTTTTATAAAGATTTAAATAGTTTTCTTTCTGCATACAAATGGGCTAGTAATATTATAATTTTGCTAAAAACGATAATATTACTAGCCTGTACATTTTGTACATTTGCTGCTTTAAAAACAATTTAAAATGTCAATATTCCATGGGTATATTGATAAATGAGGTCTAAATTATAAGAAAATGCATTTTCTACGAAAACTTGAAGGGATAGGTAAAAAGTGGTATAATACGATTTGATAGACAATTAAATTATGCATCT